GAGCCCTGAAGGGCCTGTCCTCCACTGTCCAGAAACTGTGAAATCACCCATGTATGAAATACACTGTCTGTCTTTTGTGCTTCAGATTGCTGAGTTAAAATGGCAACAGTCAGGGCAACAGGGACTGGAGAGGCATAAAATGGCCTGCAAAAGCAATTAAGTGCCACAGAGACATTTGGATTTGATAACCACAGAAGATTATTTACAGCCTTGTTTACTCCTCACCATGAATAYTGTGCTTTGTGTACATCAAGGACCTGAGCGAACCCCAGTGCTCCAACACATTTGTTGCTCTGCTGAGACTCCGCAGGGCACAGACTCAGCTTCCCACTGGCACCATTGTGCAGGTGGCTTTCCTGAGGCTTTCTGCTCCGAATTATAATCCCCAGCCGTATGGGGAACACACTCATCAAACACACATAGCCTTCAGAGCTGATCTCCCTTCTGCACCCTCTTGTTTTTATGTGGTTCCATTCCCCCACATGCCCCCACRCCATGTTTTTTTTCTCTCTGGTAAGAACACAGTCAGGCTTTACTGCTGGAAAAATCCTTCAGAGTTCAGGATTCAGACAGAATGGGGAACCTTCCATGCTTTTCACCACCATGTGACCACTGCTTCACCACCGTGTGACCACTTTTCACCACCTCACTGGCACCCTCRGTCACCAGGAGGGGAACAGACTCCCAGCAGGGTGTGTCCCAGCTCCAAGAGCTAGGACGCATTTTTCAGATATGGGAGAACAACTCCTCTCACCTTTAAAAGCTGTCCATGTAGCATTGGGCAGCCCAAAAGAAAGCTCCTGCAGCAGGAGAGCCCTAAGGCAGCRGGCTGTGGCAGCCATGGAGTTTTCCCACTGCCCCCAAAGCAAGGGGAGAGGAGATTTGCCACTGCTGTCTCCTCCCAGTGTGGCAAGGGCCCTGGTCACACCTGGCATGACACCACCAGGCGTACCCAGCTGACTTCGGAGGGATAGAGGCGCACAGAAGCCCAGCCTCCATAAGGTCTCACCACATCTGCAGAAGCTGTTCCAATAACTCTCTGTGAGAAATAAATGAGGAAGACAGAAGATTGAAAGTGGGTTTTTTTGTTGTTGTTTGTTGAGGGCTTTTTCTAAATATTTATTGGAATGTATGTCTAATGTCTAAGATTAGTATTTCGTTTTTTCCTCTGAATATAAATACTTTGCCTATGGATATATCAGAAATACACAATAATGCAGCTATGAGTTATTTACCTGCTGGGGCAATGCTAATGAGTTTTTCTAGCAATGAAAATGGATTCACTGGCTTGTAAAATATAAAACAGCAGGGAACTCACTGGAGACCCCACAAGCATATGTCAATAAACTTAAATAATTCACAAGTACACGAACCTCCCAAGATACCAGCTTCCCAGCCCCCTTTCATTTCCTGACTGCTCCTGACTGCCTCACATTTTGAGCAAAGTCAAAGACTAATTTTCTGTCTTCCTCAAGCCTCTAAAGTTTTTGCAGAAGCCAAATAATCACATGAAAAACATTTCATTCAGATGCAAACTGAATATTTCAGTGGTTAATACTTCATAGTATCCAATTGGCATGCATTGCGAAGTGCAACAGCAATACAGGACAATTGTATCTAAGACCATAAATGTCTGAACATAAATGACATTTTACCGAAGACATTTTACTAGCAATGCTCTCAAACACAGCAATGATTCAGTGTGCTCTTATTTAGAATGTTGCTGCTCTCTGTTTCCCTCCTCTACRTCAATCCTGACAATACTAACATCTGTAACAATCACTGACCACTCCCACTTGCAGTGTACACTGCCAAGATCTGCAGTGTGTTACAAAGGAAAAGATGCCCAGGATTCAGCCAAAATTCAAATCAATGTTTGGACTTTACCAGAAAAAAAAACCCCACATTAGAATATAATCCCAGTCATATGTTGTCATAAAAAGATAGTGATTGTCGTATTTCGTGTCCCACTTCATTATAAATCCATTTGGCATCCTTTATAACAGCCAGCCTACCCTCAGGAAAAATTATTTTATGTTCCTGTAGATGTCATATGTGGCCTTTGCTTTTACAGCACTTCCATTGTAATTCAACATTAATTATCTTCCCAATCAATGTACTGCATAATGCTGCAATATGAAAYGCTCACATTTCACCAATGAGAAAATTGAGCTTGGTTTCCTTTGCTTTGACCCCATTTCACTTTTATTATAATTCAGTATCAGAATTCTTTTCCATCTTAGTTGGGTTACTGATATCCTGAACACACACAAGGGAGATCTCTCCTGCATAGAAAAGTTACATTTATTCTTTTCTTCTCCAAGAGAAGACCTCAGATTTCTCTTTTTCAATAACCTTTAAATATACTTTCCTGCCTTATGATTGTTACTGAATAGCTCATAAGGGAAATTGAGGAGACAGAAGTACTAATAGAACAGCATTTACCAGTTACCATAAATATAGATATCATAAATACTTACAACTGCTGGAAAATGGAAAGTGTGAAGCAGATTATAAATACAGGGGTGGGGGAGTGATATCAAAATTGTGGTCAGGGAATGGAAAAAACCGTCTTATTTAGAAGTTGAATGATCCAACATATTCTTTAAATGTTGTGTGCTAGAAATAACATTCAAAGTTTCACTGCTGAGTACCATAATATAAAACATAAAAGCTAACACATATAGAGAGCATAACATAGAAATGGAAAATACATATCGAAAAATGCCTCCTATATTTATGATGGAAAGAATATATGGTGAGTTTCCACAATGAGGAATTTAATTTTTCTGTTTGTTTGTTTTAGCTGCTGTCAATGGCTGCAATCTTTGTGGCTACTGGATTTGACTCCCAATGCCAACATCTCAACTTCTTTTTCATCCTGAATGCAAAAGTGCTTGAGAAAGGTACAAATTCTAGAATTTCACCTATAAATTATTCCCTCAGATAGCTAAACAGCCTCTGAGGCCGGTCAAACAAAAATAAGATTGCTTGTCAAAAGATCTATTTTTAAGAGCATGTTTAAGAGCAACCTATTTAGCATCTCAAGACAGGATTTCCTCTTGAACTGTTTCGGAATACTTCATGGTAATCTTGAACTTTACGTGCCCAGGTTGGCTATTACTGATCTATCAGTAATTCAGACAATCTACTTTAATGGGAAGTAGTGCTTCCGCTTCAACATCATCCTTGACCAAATTCTTTTGAATTTTCTTTTACTAATTGCTTAGCAATGATCTTGACCTATTGCTGCAGCAGGTACAGCTGAGGCAAACAGCCATGGAATGCTGCTGCTTTTTCCAGTGCCTTCATAAATGTTATAGGGAACCTCAGAATTATTTAAGATAGCTTTAGTGACCTGAAACTTTAATTTGTTTGATATTAACCCACTTCATTCTGATACAGTTTGATTTTGTGATTTCTATTTAGCTCCTCCATCCTCACTGGTACTTCACTTTTGGTTTACTTATTTTAAAGGACCTTTATTACAGCTGTTAATTGTGAAAGAAAATTCATATCAGCATTGATCCTCTCTTGCCACCATGTTAATGCCAGTTTTGAGGACACTGGCATCTTAGCTAATCAACCTAAAGGACCAGCGGCTGGAGGGTTTTGTACCATCAATGAGCTGTACAGMGGGGTCATTGCTGCAGCTTGAACAGGAGAAGCAAAGGGTAGTATGCTAGGAAAGACAAACAAGATTTTGGGGAGACCCGAATACAAAATGACAAAACGTTCCTAACTGTGCACTGAAGTTAAACTGTCTTAATCATTTCCCTGTCACTGCAGACTTTTGGAAGGGGATTCTCATCATCATTGAATGGCTGGGAGTTTTTTGCGTTTGCCATCAGCTAACAAAGAGTGCAGCAGATGGTCTCAGAATCCATTTTATAAACACCTCAAGCACCCAATACTTGAGTTTWCAGTCTGGCCAAGGCACATCTACCACAAGCAATTATTTATCAGACAGGAACTGACACACTGTGAGAAAGAACACTGTAACCTTCTCTACTGGATAAAACTAGCAACTGTGTTCTCATTATCCACATATTCTTTCTCCAAGTACTTTTTCCCTTGGATGCCTTTTCTTCAGAGATAAAGAAATTCCTCTGGTGAGAAAAACAGTCAGCTGCCAAAGACTGGTGATTAACCCGCCTCCCAAGGGAAATCTGCAGCCTAAAAAGACACCCTTTTATGAGACCATTCAGTGTTATACCACCTTATGCATACTGGTCTTCTGACTCCACCAAAGTACAGACTTTCTGTTCTGAACAGCAATATCTCTAAGCTGTCAGACAGACATTYAGAAAAAGTCCACATCCTGGCTCTGATATCATATATACTCCTCTWAAGCATAAAGTAATCCAAGCAAACCAGGTAAACCCAGATAACCCAGACAAAGGCTCCACTTCCAGAGATCTCACACTATCAAAGGAAAGAAAAACAATAGTGCTGAAACAAAGAGAAAATTTTCATCATTGAGTTCCTTTCTTTTTTTTTTTACATTGATCTGCACACAGAAACGAGGAAAACGCAAGTACAAGACTTTCCAAAACTTCATTTTACACTATGAACTTAGAAATTAAAATTCTATATGAATCCTATGAACTTAGAAATTAAGACTCAAAATGACACTTCATGATTGCCTTAAGTAACCTCTTGGAAAATCACTTCCAACCTTCTGAATGTATTTCCAGTGATTTCAGGAGGTTTAATTACTGCATATATATTCCACACAGGATTGTACCAGAAACAAGAAATCAAAGCTAAAAATCAGTGTTAAAAACATGGGAGGCCAAAGCTCTACATGATACTAACTCACAACTCAAGGATTGCTTGTGTCAGTTAAGCCAGCAGAAACAGTGCTGGCTTAATTGCAAATTGCAAATTTTCAAATATTCAGAATTTTTCAATTGGATGTTGTGCTGTTTTCTGTTTTATTTCATGGAAGTGAATGAAATACAGCCTGAACATTAGCAGGTTATTTCTCTAAAGGAGGTTCAGGCCTTGCAATACACATCATATTCAAACTTCACTCCCAGCTTAAGTTACTTCTAAGCACACCTTAGATTTGGCAGCCATTTTCTGGTTCTGAGCTTCAGTGAAAAGATTCTTCCAATCTCCAAAAACACTGTGAATATAGAGAACCGGAAATTATTACCTAAGAACCAAAGASTATMATTTAAAATAACAACAAYAAMAAMAAAAAAMCCTAACTTTTCTGTCTTATTAYCATATTTCARGATAATAACTTCCTTTTTTCTTTTCCTGTAAGAAAAAATATCTGATCCAAGAACACTCTCTTACATTTGTCTTATGTTTGGTGTCCTCAATAGAATGTGAACATCAAGCAGCCTCAGGAACTACTGGTCTGCCTTCATAGCCCTGGCACATGTCTTCCACAGCTGCAGAAGACTAGAAAAGGTGACCAGAAGTTGTGAAACCAACCCAGAAATTTAGAAGYGTGGKTTTCAACTGCGAGAGCTTTGKGTGCTKCAACCAGACACTGCCATAAGCTTCMGTTCACCTTTAATCTAGATTTCAGAGAGCCACGGTCAGAGGTTGCCTGAAGTTCTGGCCTGATCCATGGCTCAGAAGACACTGKTCAATCTGTGGAGAGTCTGGATTCCAAATGTTGGCTGTGGTCCACAGGCARTCACGAGGGTTATTTAAAAAAACCCAAGAAGATCTGTGGAGGCACTCTGTAGATCAAGTGCCAGGCTATCCCMAATACTCCCAGAACCTAAAATAAAATTCTTCTTTGTTCTAGTTGGTGCATTCTAGTGCTTGGTGAATTCCACAACAGTGGGTGTGCTACCTGTAGGACACTTCAGCTAATCATACTATACAGGGCTTTACTGAATGATACTGACCCTTGGGGTGAAATCAATAGACAGATTCCTGAAGCACAACTGGTGTTTCTTAAACAACACCCAGACCTGAAAATTGTACATAAATATTAATCAYCTATTGATCCCAATTCCTGTCTGCCCAAAACTAAAAGGTGCCATTCACCRCTCTGGCAAAATACAAACAAATTTACCTTTAAGAATTGAGCCAACAGCACCAGGAGTCTCCTGAGCTTTAACACTCACTGGCTGGAAAGTGTCCCTTCCTGCAATGGGCTGGATCTGCTCAGCCGTTGGGGAGAATCCAAAGAATTCARCTATCTGCTTTACATTGGCAGTCAGGTTCTGAAAGCAGTAGAGTGGAAGTGAGATGTGCTATACGCTTCCTCTAAAAAAGGGAGTTACCCATTTGGGATGTGCATTGCCATCATCTACTAACATTTCATTCACTGTTTTCTGTGTTGCTTTTCTGTTTCCTGGAGCTCTGCTTTTATATAGCCACACTCAATCTGTYGCTAAAATCAATTTGATTTTATTCTTTCAGAAACCTGTTCATTTCCTCTTAATTCCAGTAGATTTCAAGGAATGAGCTCAGATGTGTTTTGGCTGTCAGTAAACAGCATCTGCTTAACCCCTTTCAGGTCTTCATATATTATGACCATAGCATTCTTATCCTCAATGTATCCAATTCAGGCGACTTCAGGATCAAAAGAGGATCCCCTGTCAACTGGAAAGAAGAGAAAAAAGCATTGGTATGACCTTTCTTTCTAACTAGATACGTTTGTTTTTTTGTAAAACTGAAGAATTGCCTTCTGTTGTCTGTGGGTTACATCAATCCACACAAAAAGAACGGCCTGTCCTTTCCACTGCACTGTCTGTACAACTGAACGACAGAGGCCTCCTCAACTTTTGTAGGTAAACACTTTCCACACATAAAGATGAATCTCACTATATGCTTCCCTTGTCCGACTATCCTGTCATGTGACATCTCTCAACAGACAAAGCCTGACATCAGCCTAAATCYAAAATTTGGGTTGCTAATGAGGTATTTGGCCTAACATTGAAAAAGAGTAAAGACACAAACTGCCATTTCATTAATACTTTGAACCTGTAGCATTTCCTTCATACCTAAGTGGCAGAATGTTGACCCAATACCACTGTCCAGTTGCCATGTAATTCCCCCACCCTTTGCTGGAAGAGCAAAACACCCAGAAGCAAAGCATCTTTTGGACATTCTCCCCTCTGGCATTCAGCTGCCTCCTTCATCATGATGCAGAGCCATCAGTAAATTAATTAAGGCACAGCTGTTTTCCCACTGGCCCCATTCAGTTGTTTTTAAGATTTTTTTTCTGCTGCTTYTTCAGCTACAATCAGTATCTGTAACAATACAGAGCTGTCATGAATCCTGAGAAGAACTCATCCCTGGAGCTGTAACTGGGGATGCTTAGCACATTGTTATGGAAATGGAAAAATGAGACAACTGTATCTTTAGGGTTTCAAAACAACACTACYATCTGGAGGGGGAGAAAGAGGTCAACAATTTGAGATCACTCATCTACCCTGGCAACCAAAGTGAGAGTATAACCAAACATTCTGCAAACAATAAGACATTGTGAGTTATAAAATATTTTATTAATAAAGACATGCAGAACAAAATTATAATGTGACCATAATAAGGACCTTGTCACCACTTATAAGGTTTGTTTATGTCATGAAGCAATTGTAGAAAGAAGTAACTGGAAATACTGTAACATTGTCACAGAATACTATCCCATAACCACCTAGGACCTGGGAAATAGTAAGGAACTATTTTCCAACCTCCTGTCCTTTAGAAAACCACTGTTACAATCATCTCCCCTGCCCCCTTAAAATCCTCAGAGCAGGAATTACTTTACTAAGAAATCCCACTGAGTGCAAACAATACTTGCAAACTCAGCCACCAGGGAAAACAGAATTGSAAAATGAATGACCCTGTAAGAATGAGCAGCAAAAATACTAYATCTAATCTTACAAAACATTAGGAGGTGGAAGAAAGCACCTTACAAAGAAAATTAAGTCATTATTAAGGGAAATCTGAAGAGCTTTTCTTTTGGCAATGAAGTCAGTCCCATAATATGAGTGGAGCAATATCAAAAATAGAAGATGAAGAAAACAAAACTATAAAACAGAAAGAACACTACCAGAGGGAAAGGATGCTGTCATTTTAGGTTCTAAATACCCCTCTGTGGGACCTTGTCTGCACTAATATACTTTTTCATGTTAAAGACCATTAAATATTTGCATGGCATGGGGTTTTTTTGCGTGTCTCCATGATAAAACCAGGATCCCTTCTTAATATCCGTGAGCCTGATGCACAAGCCTGGGTGCTCCATTCCACAAATCAAGCACGCCAACTACCAAAAGTTTTTACAATTTATACAATTGAGCAAACAAAGGGATTAATGTTCCTTGGCTACAAGTGACATCATTCCCTTATAAATTAGTCTTCTATATTCTGTTGGTTAATGATTCTCTTGCTTCTCATGCTAAGCAGTCCACATGCTGTGGCTTTCTCTTCTTTTAGGCCCGTGGTATTGTTGGGTCTGTGGCCGTGAGCCGGTGGTCCCATAAACTACCTAGCATCACAAACTACCTTTTACCCAGCCAGAGGTGCGTTGGCATTATCAGTTTCTTCTTTATTTTGGGAGTTCTGCTGGATGTCTTTGTGGCCCATTAAGCTGCATTYTTTGTGTCCRTTWTGAGTAGCACATCTTTCTCCCCTGGCATTATTAACCTAGGTCTGAGATTACTGAAGTATATTGGGCCCCAGACCTTAATAAGGCAATTCTACCGATAAGTGTATTCCTAACACCTGGGCATGACTTAGCCCTCACTTGTTAGCTGCTATCTGCCTGCCTCATGGATTCATCTCTGTTTCTCGCTGACYTGGCCGGAAGGTATACAAAGACCAAAGCCCATCCTTTCTTGAGAAGATTTTTATATATCTCATATTTTGCCGCACCTGCCGCCAGGCGTCCCCAAAGGCTGGGCCGGGCCCTGCGGCCGCTCGAGCTGCGGCGGCGCCTGCGCGGTGCTGCGGAAGCGCCCAGCCCCGGCCATGGCGCGGCGCGTCGTGAGGGGGCTGCTGCTGCTGGAGGCGGCGGGGCTGCTGGGCGCCCTCCTGCTCTACCGCGCCATGGACCGCAGCCAAGGTGCAGCGGGGCGGCCGAGAACGGGGACGGGGACGGGGAGCGGAGGGGGTGGTCCGCACCGCGCGCGTTTTGTGAGGAAATCCTGCCGTGTTGGGATCAGGAGCTGGGCTCGGGTGAACGCAGGGACACGGCGCGGGGCTGGTTGGGCAGACCCCCGAGGATACCCTCGGAAGATACCCTGTACCTGTGGAAGGACGAGCTGCTGGTTTAGTTTTACCAACCCGAGCCCGCGAGCGATCCTTTGGGAGGCAGCACGCGACCGCACCAGAAGCAAATATGAATCCTGCGCGTTTTTTRTAGTAACGTCAGCGGGCCAGATAAGGAGTTAAAAGGGAGAGAGGCTGTCCGCAAATGAACAAGGAATTGATCAGTCCCATTTCAGGCATCTGGTGTTGAGCCCTTCAAGGGTTGCCCCGTCCGTCTCTGTGGGTCTGGGAGTCTGGAATTTGACATTTCCCAGGCTGAGGACAGAGCTGGCTGGCAGGAGGCTGCCAGCGTTCTCTTCCGATTATTAAGCTTCAGGCCCTCAGGTCTCTCACTCACAACTCCGTGCCGAGGTAACACAGAAATAAGCAGTGTACCAACTTGGTTATTACGAGGTTTGCTCTGCAGAACCAGCGGCCTTATTTTGCTTTCAGGGCTGTGCAGCACTGGTTTGACAGATGTGTCCCTGCAGGAAAAGAGCCTGTGCTGCTATCTGCAGCTGCTGCTTTGGCTGGGAGGGCAAGAGTCCACCCATTTCAGCAGTGCTRTGGTCTTTATGCCAAGTTCCAAGCCGAGCTTCACCTACACTGCATCAGTTTGCATGTTTTTCAAGATCCAGACGATGTTAGATGTTAGTAAAAAATTCTCCACTGAAAARGTGATCGCACACTGGAATTGTCTGCCCACGGAGGTGGTGGCATCACCATCCCTGGACGTGTTTGAAAAAGACTGGATGTGGCACTCAGTGCCACAGGTTTGGTTGATGAGGAGGTGTTAGGTCATAGGCTGGACTTGATGATCTTGAAAGTCTCTTCCAGCCTAGTTCATTCTGTGTGATTCTGTGTATGTCAGGCTGTTAAATTTCAGCTGTCTTTGCATTTTTATTAGAAAATATATATAATAAAAACATGGAGAACAGACATTTTCAGCCTATTGTTATAACTTGGTGCTGAGCTTTCATCATTGGTTTCTTTATCCTTTTTTGGTTTTAGATCCTAGTTCTTACATGCATTTGTGTATTTTCTTCAATTGCAGTGAGCTAATCTTAACTGCTCAGTGAGCTCAGATTTTTCCTGCTTTCTCTGTGCTAGTACTAGAATGGTAACATCCTTTTATGAGCTGCTGTAAATAATTAAAATAGCATACACCTGTTGTGATTTTCTGCTAGGTTGTCAGATTGGCCTATGGAACAATTCACTGAACATCTAAATCTGCACCAGGAAAATAAAGCAGTTTTCCCTGATTTTATTTGTATGTCAGTTCATGAGAGGCATGTAGCTTCCTGTGAACCTGTAGCTTGGACTTGGTTATTACAATTGTGAGGAACCTCAGAAAACAGTGTGATGATRGGGCTGCATGCACGAATAACCTGAATACAGTCTCTAAAATTATTTTTAAAAAATTAATTCCTATCACATTAATGAGTRGTGCTAAGCAAAGAGCTCAAACAAACTTCGATAAAACTAATTAGTTAGAAAAATAGTGCATTTAATTATTCATCTTAATATATGCTGGGAAAGTAACTGTGATTTATCTTTCTCAGATTTCAGATACACAATGCAGAAGAGGTTTCCATCAATTCTGGAAGGTGGGTKTGTAGTAGTTGGCTTCAGAAGGACGGGTGAAGCTTCTGTTGCATCTTAATTTGTAAAACCAACCTTATTATTGCTTAAAACTTTGCCCAGGAGACACTGCCTAAGTGTTTATTGTTAAGGCATGGCTGAAGTGCCAGACTGTTGATAAAGACCTCAGAACTGGAGGACTTTGAATAAAACCACAAAGTGGCTGGTCTTCAAATATGTCTAACTTAGAGCTGACATGGATTTTCCTATTTTTCAGTTTATTACAAATCCAATGAGTGGTCTGGAATTCATGGCATAAGGGAGAATGACCAAATGGCATGGTTAAGCAGCAAGAACTGAAGTAAGAAAGATGTGTGTTTAAATAAAAAACTCTTTAAGAATAATTATTTTTAAAATGTCCATATCAAAATATCCAGTTCATCTTCTTGATTTCTTGCCTTTGTACTTGTTTTTCAGCCCTCTGTGCCTGAACTGTTTCTTCTTTTTGATGATGCTTTTCACATCCCTGTTGTGAAGCCACTTGTCACGCTCTATTTCCCACTGGATCTGTTTGACATCTGTAGGAGGAAAGGTGAAAAATAAGGAGCCAATGGATACCTCTGACCGTGATGTGGCACACAGATCAATCATCTGTGGCAAGTTAAAACTTGACTGTTGTATTTATAAATGTTGATAAAGTTGCCCTTTTTTTTTGAGAAAGCTGTGGGTTTTTTCATTTCACAAAACAAACCCTACCATGTCAGAGTTTGAGACATTGCTTTGTATTTTACTAATGCTAGACACGCTTGTGTTTGGAGCAATGTTTGGAGTGCTCCTAACATTTTTCAAGTGACACTAGCAAAACTTGTAGAAGTCTTTACAAAGCTTTATTCAACTGGCATATACACAATTAATTACACTTATTCTGGGGAAGCTACTCTCTGCTTCACTGATACTGCATGGAAATGGTGCARTAGGTTGGTAAAGCCAGCCATACCTTATGCCTTCCCTTCCCAAGGAATCAAGGACACTTCACCTGAGCAAAATTCACACAATGCTTGACAAAGGCACACTGCCTGTCCCTGTTTACAGTATGAAAGGGCCAACAACAGCCTCTCCCTCTTTCCTGAAGCCTTATTCACTCCACWATTCCCAGATAATATTTAGCACTGGGTACCTCGTCACTGGAGAAAACTGTCACATCTTACTGACATTGAGCTACTGTCCCTACTGTGTGGTTTCTGACCCTGTATTTGACACTCAGTCAAAAGCAGGACATCTTTTCAAGTACAGAATCTGAAGGGAAATAAGGAAATTACAGCATTACAATTGTGTGCTACTTGTAGCATGTACTTACTCGCATTATCTCTGTTGGCCATGGCATTCATTCCAATATTGTCAAACTTAGACCCAGCGTTTTCATCCAGCAGATAGCCAAACTTTAAAGAGAGAAATTTTAGTACTCTGTTACAAAGCAACAGGTAAAATACTTGATTACTTTTTGTTAAGCACTGAACAAACTCACCTCYTCTGCAGATGCCAGTATACCAGCATCTTGGAGTTTTCTCTTCTTTCCTCGGCTGGATCCTTCAAAGAAAGAATATTCTTAAGAGAAAGAACTTCAAATTCCCAAAGACACTAAAACAAAGTTTTGCCATGTTTTAAATTTTTKAAACTTTTCTTAATRAGATCATCTGAACTRGCTGTGTTGGAAATTTTTGTTTCCCACATCCCCTAAAAGAATAGGGAAAGTTTCCAACCAAGAACTAAATAGCACAAATTAGTGCATCAGGTGTGAGTAACAGAAGCACAAACCACCAGTACAACTCCRTCCTTCTTCAAAATTCCTCTTTCAGCTCTTCAACAGCAGAYTGTTACTCCAAATTATGCTGGTCARGGGCTGACCTCCTTTTCATTTATGGTTTATTCAAATCTGAACCTAGATCCAAAATGTGGTAAGCTAGTGTAGTAAAACCCTCTGATTCCAAAGATTTTTGGACTCTGTATTAAGCTTTAATGTCAGTGTTTTCTTACCTTCCAGTGATCCTGCAAAATTCATGTCTTTCTTTTTCTTGCCCTTTTTACTGACAGATTTCAGTTGCTTGTCRTTGTTCAGGTCTGACAGAAAAAAACCCAGATACATCAGTCTGCAATTCTCATACGATGGAGATGTAGTTAAAGTGCACCAGAGACTAAAATTCCTTTTTAGGCATATTTGTCATAATGGTCCAAAGACTTTAAGAGGTAGTGCATACAAGAAACTCTAGTATTTCTTCAAGCTAGACAATTAAAAATTGGTCTGTGGTGTGCTGTTTTTCATTCTTTCTTCCACACCACCAGAAGGGAATGATATTAAGATATATAAAATACAAAAGCTAAAAGCAGGYCTTAGGTAAACCATGAATGTTTACATGGTAAGTTTGGTGAAATCCTTCTCATGAAGGATTGTGTTAACAACTGTATGAACAGTTTGCCTCCTCTACCATCAGTCGTCTTCCTGTGGCTTTTCCAGCCACATGCAGTGTATTCTGTGTAAACTGTGCTTTTCAGTTAAAATAAAACCATGCAGGTGCAAGAATCAGTTATTATTACAGTGGTAATGAAAACTTGAGTGCATAGCTGTATTACAAGAGTAAGCTGTTACTTGTGAGACAGCAATTTAAATAAAAACTACTTCATCTAAAAAGAATCAACATTAACCAGGTTTAAAGAAATACAAAAATTTTCAATTACCAGATACTTTTATCTTTAAGCTGTTTTAATGTCTGCCAATTGCAGCAAGTAATTAGCATATAAAGCTACTTTTGTTATGCCAATGTTTTCAGAATGAAAGAAACACATCTCACTTGGAAGTTTTTATACAAGAGGTCTAATTAACACTCCTGCCTAGGAGACTGTGCCAGGAAATGCTTTTCTTAAGACTTCATTGTACAGTGAARGACTTGTCATTTCTTTGCTTAACAGCCAAGCTTTCCACCTAGATAACTAAACTGGAATTTGCATATGTAGTTACATATCAGATAACCTATTTTTAAAGTTTTTTCTTGTTTCTCGGTAAGAAAAGGTATTTTACCTAGGTCATTATCATCTTCAGACACATCCATAAATACACCTGCCTCTTCATCCATATCCTCTTCAAAGTCTTCCTCCATACTTCCTAAGGAGACTTCCTCATCATCCAGATCACTGAAGTCATCTTCATCATCAGAATCCTCCCAGTCAGCACCAGATCCCTCACCACTTTGGCCTTTCTTGCCACCTTTGGTTTTCTTCTTTATGTTACTATAAGAAGATGTAACAAGCTTAGCACTTCATCTGGATAAAAACTGTTTGCATCTAGATGACATTTACCTACTTGCAAGCCCTATGTTAGGAAAGTTCAACATCACTGCAAACTAACAGAATCGTAGGCTGCGACCTAAAATATAYTCATTACACACTCAGGTATGTTTTCAACTTTAGCATAGGGAGTTGCATTATAAAAGTCAAGCATTTTAAAGTAGYTCTAAAGAGAATCCTATTCTGAAATTAGCAGAAATGTCAGCTTCAGTATTTTATCYTCTCTGTGTCTTTGCTCCCTTTCAGAAAGTCCTTTCTGTAAAACACACAAACTGCTCCATTAAACGCCAGTCTAGATCACAAAAATGTTTCAGGTTTCACTAGGTGTTTAGACTTTAATTCTGTCACCTCAAGAAAAAAGTCCCATGCAAATTCAAGCACCACATTAYAGGTATTTTGAGTAAAATAGAGGCTGCTTAATCATTTACAATTGGACTTGATCTTAAAAGTCCTTTCCAGCCTAAATGATTCTGTGATTAAAGAGACTGCTGACTTCAGAACTGAGCTCTGTGACTATGGATTCCAGAAAGCTTATTAACTGTTAGGTCCAGTTACAACCAGTCCTTATGGCAGCAGTGCCATTCTGCCTCGTTTTGMTTTCTTTTGTACTTGGTAATTCTCAAATAGAAACCTGAGACAATGAAAAACAAGATTTTACCTTGCTTACTGGGTCACTCCATTGTATAAAACAAACAATTTTAAAAAATTAATAAATACAATACAATAATACAGGTCGTACATAAGACCAGCAGACTATAAGCATCCCCAAGATCATCACAATCCATTATGGAAYATGCAGAAAAACAGAATTATTTAAAGTTATACTGTCTTTTTTGCAAAGTGATATTCTGAACCTTTCTGAAAAAGATCTATCCAGTTCCACAGAGTAAAACTATGTAGATATTAGAACAGGAGGAGTAAGAACTAATTTGAAGTCTTACCCAGCAAAATCAAGGTCATCCTGACCAACAGTGGCATTATCAGCAGCTTCRAATGTATCTAGGGAGAAAGAAAAATGGTGTTATTACAAAACAAGCAAAGAAATACGAAGTCATTGCATCCAACAAGTACATGGACCTGTTGCAGAAAGTGCAGAGAAGGGCCACAAAGACAAGCAGAGAGCTGGAACACCGCCCCTAGAGTTGGAGTCATTCAGCCGGGAGAAGAGAAGGCTTCAGGGTGATCTTACTGCGGCATTCCAGTACCTTAAAGGACRCTACGAGAGAGCTGGAGAGGGACTTTTTCCAGGGCATGTAGTGACAGGACAAGAGGGAATGGCTACAGACTGAGAGTTTAGATTAGCTATTAGGAAAAAAATTGTTAACTATGAGGGTAGTAAGGCACGAGGTTGCCCAGAGAAGCTGTGGATGTCCCATCCCTGAAAATGTTCGAGGTCAGGTTGGATGGGGGTTTGAGCAAACCGGTCTAGTGRAAGGTGTCCCTGGTCATGGCAGCAACAAGATGATCTCTAAGGTCCCTTCCAACCCAAGCCATTCTATGRTTCTAGCATTGTAAAATATCTACTTTTCAGATATAGGGTCATAATTTTAAGCTTCTCAATTTATGAAGCAAATTCTCCTTAAAGATACTAACAATAAAAGACAAACACACTTAGTAACAGATTCTTCTCATAATGACTCAAATTCTGATACAAGAGTTCGGAATTCTCTCAAAATGCCATACRAAGTACGTGCTACAGGAAGAGCTAAGACTACTGCAGAAGTTTTCCAACGACCTTACAAAACTCACARCGTCATGAAAGTTGTCAGAAAAAATGAGAGAAACCAAAAGCAAGATTGAAAAAGGCCAAGCAGTAAGAAAAAATAGAAATAGTTAGAGAAAAAGAACAAAAAGGCATGAACTGCACTAGGAAAAGAACAAAAAGGCATGAACTGCCATTCATGAGCTTAAATTCAAAATCAGACAATTTCCAGCTGCTCAAACAAGCTCACCACCGCAGTGATGTGAGCAAGACCTCTTACAAATGGCCACCCAGCTGGCTTTCAGAGCAGGTAGTAGGAACTGCTGGCTGTAGTAGCATAGAAGGGCAACTTCTAGCCAGTTTTTGCCCACTCGCATACTGGGCACTCCTCTATCTGGTTCTTTCACACAACATAAACTRTAAAATGGGTAAATAATGATTTTGAAAAAGCAGGGAATACTGGGATAGTTACTGCAAGGAAGAACACAGCCTTACCCAATG